ATCAAGGAATAATTAATATTTGTAACGCAGTGTTTCTTTAATGAAAAACAAAAGAATCCTCCTAAAGGTCACATTTGCAGATTAAATGTGCCTTTAACATAAATAGAATGTTATTAGGTTAGGCTCAATATGCAGGAGAGAACTACAAAGGCTTTTGTGGCAAGGCACTATTAATGCATGCAAGAAACAGAATCCCTTTGCTAATGCTGGAGTTGAGCAAGGTTAGCAGCTCAACCACATTCAGTGTGCCGAATATGTCTACTGTACCCTGCAGTGGAGAATTGAAAGAGAAGGGTGGAAAAGGGGTGTGGGAAGAGATTGGGAAAGAGGGAGGACAAGGAGGGGAGAGGGAAAGAGGTAGAAAGAGAAAGAGAAGAAAGAAAAGACATTGATTGGTAGCAGACGTTCAGCCATGTGTGCACAGCAGAGGGCAGAAATACTGTATATTGACATGCAGGTATAGTAAGAAGTAAGGCTAATGTATTTTTTGCTTAGTGTTAAGTTATTAACATTACAGTGTTCTAAGAGAATCAGAACCCATGCTATAAGAACTGCCTCACCTGTTCATTAAGGGCAATGTTAGAGAAAATAACTTTTTATTTTTAATCATGAAAAGTTGCAATGACAAATCAGTTCTTAGAATGTAAACTTGGGTTGATGTGAAAAGTCTACATGTGCTTATTACACAGAACTTTAGAGAGATACATCCATATGTCAGCTTGAATAAAGCTGTTGTATGTTTTATTATGTTTCAAAGTTAATAAAAGTTGAAGACATCCATGTTTACAAGGAGATATCATATATATATATATGTGTGTGTATATTTGTATATGTGCAAATGTATGTATATATATATGTGTGTATACATATATCTATACATATATATGCATATGAATATGTGTGTATAAATACATACTGTACTGATTGACTGAAGTTAAAGTAACCTTCAGTTCTAGCTATATTATAAAGAAAGAACACTGAGGCATACATTATAGCTTTAAATCCGAGTTTGGTAGATTTCATTAATGATGCAATGGGGAAAACTCAGAATTGGCAAATATTTTGACATGAGACTTGGGACAGGGAGAGGGGGATGAGGGAAAACAGGGAAGCCACAGAGTAAGAAAGTTTACCCCACTAAGAACCATGTTGCACAAGAAATATTCACTAGCCAAAATATTGAATGAGAGATTCATTTATCTGTTTATTTAGTTTGATAATTTACATTTGTCCCAGAAAAACAATATTTGCTTTAGATTTAAAGATTATGAGGGGATGCTAATGTTACTTTAAATATACGTATGTATATATCTTTAGATCACTCAGTACGACTGAAATATATGCAAGCACTCCGTTCTTTTTCATTTCCAGTGTTTATAACAGGGACAATTTTGGGGGAAAAAAATCACCCTACAGAGAGAAGTGTAAGCCTTACAAGAATAAAGTAGTTTTATCAGCTAAATAATCACTCTTCCCAAATAAAAAGTAGACTGAAATCAAACTCATTCCTTAGTGACTTATAAAAAAAACCTCTTAAATGCACTAAAGAAAGAGTCCAATGTAACTGTTTGCAACATGCACCATTGCGCACAGGAAGAGAGCAGCTATCATCTAAAACTACTTTGTTAACTAATTCTGAGTCAATCTTATCAAGATCGATTGCTCACAGGTACCTTTGTAGAGCTGAACATTCAAAATTCTCCTTATTAAAATTCACACACTTCCACACACCATTGACACAACTTGTAGCTTATGATATCATCTGCTGACTACAAAAATCCCATCTCACATTTATTTTTAATTGAAGTAGGTTCTGTCGCTTAGAACTGAAGCCAAAAGCAAAATTTTGCACCAAAAATAAGATACTAACAACAATCACTTTTATTTTGAATCATTTATGTGAATTATATTCACTAATGAAATATTTCTAAAAATTTTATATTCATTTTGGGATTTATGACATATCATAGCTGGCATATCAATAGACTAAGACTATACTTGGCATATCAATATAGTATATATTTTATGAATTCATAAAGTGGCTTTCTTAAAATGCCAGCATTCATCATAAAGTAACACCTCTACAAATGAGGGCTGCTGGTATCATATTCCTTCCTCAATGCTTTATGTTAACCTACTCATTTCTGGCACAAAAAAAGGACATTCAAAGTAACAAAATCCAAATCCTGAAAAATTTGGAGGTAGGAATAAACCCCCTTTGTGTTAGAAAGTAGGGTGTTAATTCTCAAATGAGAATTAATTGCCAATGCAAATCTAGGTTACTAAATATAAGTTTAAATACAAAAGAAGCCATAAATGAAATTCAGGTTAACAGGTCACCACAATGCCTACAGCTGCAGTATTCATTTTGGTTGGCCTACATAGAGTCAGCACATTTGATTTAACCCAAATGTATGTGGTCATGTCTGAAAATATATCTGCCTTCTTGAAATAGTAAAAGATAATTTGGAGTGTGTGTGTGTGTGTGTGTGTGTGTGTGTGTGTGTGTGTGTGTGTGTTTGATGTGGTTGCCTAGGAAAATGTTTTCATAAAAAGCATGAATGATATGACCAAATTGTGGAACCATCTTGGTAAATTCTGTGAATCAAAACGTGATCCTGAAAGAATGTGTTCTAAACAGGTCATTTCTCACGAACAGGAATCTGTTAATACTAATATGAATTCACTCCTGTACTCAAAGTCATCCTCCGTAGTGACATATACCTAGCAGGACCTACATTATAGTGTATATGGTCACAAAGACAAAAAATCACGTACGTATCTCTTACTATCTTAAAGATTCCTGCTGGTCATTTTGTTTGCTAGGGGAAGTGAGTGCTAGGGGAAGGTAAGCAGGGAGAAAAAGAAAACTGAAATTTATAGCTATTTATTACCAAGCCTGAATGATTCAAGTATTTAAAATCTATTCACAGAAGCAAAATTAATACAATTTTGGGGCAATTCCCATCCTTGGAAATTAAATTGCCACTCACATCTGCACTCTGTGTGTTTTGCCTTTCTTTGTATTCCCAAACTGAACACAGTTCCTGGTACATAGTAAGTGCTTAATAAATGCTTGTTGACTCACTAACTCACTAACTGAACTGTTTGGGGAAATATGTCTCAGTTCCCCTTGCTTGAGTTAAGTGTGAAGATTTGCCATAGAGAAGCAAAAGAGCACTAAATATGACTAAACCAGATTCCCATGGATGGTAGAGGGACTATGAAGGTCTATGGCATCTTCTTGGCATGACGCAGAAGTCCGTAGTGACCTGTTAGAACATTTTTCTTTTCAGTCAAACACTTCATCAATTCCATAGTTTGAGCCTGTATAAACAAGCAGAAAAGAGAGGAAGCCAGCACCTTGAATATCCATTGTCAACTCCAGTAAAGAGATTCTCCCCTCTGGTCAGCTCCACCTAGAAGGAATCTACCTGTCTACTTGGGAAACAATGGTAGGAACCAATAGGGAATGTTCTCATCATTTAAACAATCCCTTCCCTTAAGATTCAAAGGCAGCAACAAAGCTACTAGACTGTATTTCAGTGCCTTTCACATACTAATTCCTCCTAAGTGATTCACTGTGAATAAGGATAAAGTAGTAAGGCCAAGGCTGGGGGTGGAGGGATGTAGCTGTTGTAGTCTGTCTTTCATATTAGAAGAGGACCAATGACATTACAGGTGATGTATTGACTCGTACATGAATTGGTTTTAAGCGAGGCAGAGTTGCACAAAGTCATCAGGCTCACTCTCTCTTCTTGAGTCATCAAAGTCCAGTGGCAGGACAAAATTCAAAATGATTAGCAATGGCCCAGGATGCAGTAGATGACCTTGGTGTCTTCGATGCTTGACCAAGCTTTAAGTACTCTACTTTGCCTGCTTCAGGCTATAGGAATAAATTGTTCTCATGTGCCCATTCTGCCAGGCAAATTCTTCACATGCTTGGGGTAGACATCCTTCTAACTCACTGATAGGTTTGAAGCCTATTGGTTACCCTTAACCTGGTTAAACCAGTCTGCTAAGACAGTTTGCCAAGGTGTGGCCACTGTACATGATATAGCTTCTTGGAGCCACAGGTATGAGTTGAGTGACAGGTAGACACCAAAAGTGGATAAGCAGCCCTGAGAAGGGCTCAGCAAGTCCTCACACCCTAAGTGCTATAGTCCTCCTGAACACCTCATACACCTCAGAAATAGGAAGTCCCTTGGTCTGGGCTTCAAGTTTAAAGGGGATCTCCAATTTAGTAGTTAAAGAATGATCACCATTTAACTGTGAGATAACAGAATTTAAATGGATTTACTAAGCTTAATATTAACATCCTCACCCCAATAATTATTGCATTTATATAGAAATGGGCTGGAACATAAGCATCTTAAAGGCAGAGATTTTCATTATTATTATTATTTGTGCATAAATATCTGACATATTATTATTTTTAAATGGATCTGTGATTTCATCGGTGTACTAAGGGAACTCTTGGTGAGGAGACCATACCATATCAATGCAGATTGGCACCTGTTCTGCAACTTACAGCGAGTCTATGAGACTAGAATTTAGTACGTGGTTAAAAATTATTGAATGGAATGGAATGGACTAAAACATATTCTTCTACATTTTAAAAAAAACAAATCATGTCTCACTTTTGGTGCCCTATTTTGCTTTCATGTATTTTATTTATTTGTGTGTTTATTAAATTATCTGTCTATTATGTATTTATTTTTAAATTATGGATAGGAACTTCAAAGCTGGAGGTGACCTGTGCTTTCCCGAACCTCTGAGCATCCTAAGTCTACCTCACTTTATTTATTATGATCAAACACAGTTGGCTCCATGATCAATGAGGTGCTTTTCACTAAAAGAAGGCAACCTACATGAAGTGCATAGATGTAACAAGTTTGGTTGCTTCCATACATCTTTTATTTCTTTCATTGAATGACTGTATTTTAGTTATTTTGGTGGAAGCAATATGAACAAGTTTAATAAACTATTTGTTCCTGTTATCAAACATAAATTTATTTTATAAGATAAATTACATTTACTATCATACCTGATATTCTCACACAATCAACTTATTTTTAAAGGAAATGTACATAACATTAACGGTAGGTAATTTGTGTAAAAGCTAAGGTGAAATATATACTTATTTCTGCTTCTGCAAATATAACTTTTGAATTTTTAATACAATTTGTAATCATACATGTGAAATATTCTTACACATCTATATAGTTTCTGTTCTTCAAAGTTAAGCAATGTCATTGTAAATAAAATTAAGATTGGTAAAAACTATGATGCTAGATCTCTAGTCCCTGAAGACAATATGATGTTACTTCCTAACTAACAATATACATTTAAAATCTTTCAAAGACTCAATGACTTTTACGTTAAAAGATTATTTACATTCATTTACATGTATTCTGTCCATATTTCATCAAATACCTGCATGCAACTTTTATTGTATTGGAGGCACAACTTTGAGGGTAATTTTAATGTTAATCTTAGTACATGTGATTTCCCTCCAAACATGGTCTGCATTAGTGTATGACACTGTAGTTTCAAATTAATCCAAATAATTCACTTGTGTTTTATAATTGCATATTTAGGGCATCTTAGAGATTAAATACTCTGTGATAAAATAGGGTAGCTGTGCTTTGCATCTTTTTTTTACATAACTGATTACATCAGCTGAAATCCATCTGATAGCTTTAAGAATGGATGATAAAATGTGGCCACATTAATGCTGATGTAATTAGTAAAAAAAGAAATATCTTAGAGTGTATTATGGTACATAAAGAAAAATGTAGTCTCATTTTACTTGCTAACAAAAATTGTGATATTAATGCTATTGTAGAGCAATACTGACATTTGGAGCCATCATGTAAATCTACCTGTCATACTTAATTACAAACTGCTGAGGAGCCTGCTAATAAAATTAACAAATAAAGAAAATCTAGCAATTTAGAGTATGCAACAGCTATGTGATTGAATAGATGCCAGAATGACCACAACAGTGAACTTCTAAATGCCAAATGTCATTTAAATAATTCATCCACAAGCATGCATTTGTTGTAATAGGGTTTCAACATTTCAGTTGAAAGCATCTGAGATAAGACCAGTTCACTCAAGCAGGGCCCAGCTTGATTTGCCATTTTAAAATGGAGGTTTCCACTAAGAAATATTGGGGATAAAACGGGAAAATTTGGTATACTTTTGAATCCAGTAGAACTCCATATTAACTAGACTCATTATTCATGATTCTCTATGACATGGATTTAAGTAACCATGGGTGAATCATGTCTTCCCCCTCACCCCCAAATCTATCAATTACATACAGTAAAGCATAGAGCTACGTGAGCACAACCCATGTTGTCTGAGATATTAGGATGATTCTATCTCCTGACACCATCAGCATCACAAAAGGGTTCCACTGTACTATTTTCAAAGAATCATAATTTTTTCCTTCAAAGACATTAGTATAAAAATTATGTATCAAATAGTAATGATCTTCCTATGTTTGTATAAATTCAAGCATCATGTGCATGGGAACTTAGAAGATAATATCTCCAAGATATTTAAGATATAGAGCCCTGCCTTATGCAAATATGCATCTCATTATTTAGACAGCTCAAAACTTAATTTGTAAGAAGTATGTTTTATGCTTTGTCATCATCATATGATCATAAAGGTGAACCAGTCCTGAATTTACTCAGCTCACAACAGAGTTATAAGTTTTATAGAATTTGTCCATATTATACTTTAAAAAATATACTTCTAATAAAGAAATATTTTTTTTTAAATAAGACATGCATTAATTAGGCCTCCTGGCATATTGACTGATGAGAATTTGTGTACTGAAAAAAAAATCCTAATTGTTCATATTCCCCATTGTTCCAATGTAGGGGAGGTAAAGTACCTTGCTTATGAATTTGTATTTAAAATATACAAGAAACTGTAAAATCAACTGTCTCAGACCCTGCAGAGGTATTGTATATTCTTCTGCATCAGTGTCTACTAGCAGTAGCCTGTCCTCATTAAACATGCATCTAAGGTTTTAAAGCTACAGATACATTATGAATCTTCCTGGTGTAGGTCCTATACACAAACTGTGGCATAGTAAATACATTATTCCATTAAGGAGCTCTTGTTTCCTTTAGAATAATATCATTTAAAATGAATCTTCTCCATATTAAGTGGTTGACAGATAGCTAAATGTAGCATAAACAAAAATAGGTTTTACATTACAGCTGTACACAATGCACCTTTGTACAGTTGACTGATTGCTTACAACAATAAAAAAAAACTATAGCATTCTGCTGTCAAACTTTCTGGTTAGTTTATGGTGAACTTCAAAAATATAATTCCCTTTTCTCAAATGCAATTAATTTGAAGATAAAAGTAATTTGGAGCCGTGAAATATAAATGTTTAGCCTCAAAAAACAGATTGGTTTTTTTTAATTCAATAACAATAGATAAAGTTTCACATCACTATTTCTCCAAAGAGTACCACGTTATTACTTAACTATGCAAAGGAATGCTTTATGTGGAGAAGACTACAATATTATTAACATAAAAATGAAAAGTATTTATTTACAAATTTTGACAGTTGTCATAGACCTAACTGTTTCAAGTAGCATTTTTGACAAAACAATTTACTGGTTTAGAGTTATACAGGAACAGAAAGATTTTTTTCCCCTGAGTATTTACAATAAAAAAAATGCATCATCAATGTAACTTTTCTCCTTTAGAGGGAAAGAATGAATTCTATAAAACAACCCATCCATTGCAGTTTCTATAAGAACAAATGAATGTGAGTGTTAACGAGGCCTAATCTTCTCTTTTGTATTTGTTTCTTCATTAAGCTCTAGCTATGCTTTGGCTCTTGTATACTGAAGATTTGATGTGAAGATGGTATGACAGGCTTGGCTTCTCCCAATGCAGCTGGTACTGCTGATGCCAAAAGCCAGCGCCTGCTGTAGTGGGATCATGAGAGATGCGTTCAGAGCACAGTTTTTCTGTCAGTTTCCCATCCGCCTCAGAGTGCTGAGCTCCATCCCTGAATCCCCTTAATGAGAAGTGGAGGACAATACGAGTATTGTTGTTTCTATTCGCAATCTTGTGGAAAGAACAATTGCTGTTTACCCAAGCATTTGTACTACCCAAACTCTGTCGATAATTACTTCTAGAGTCCCTGATTAACTCTGCTCTCTGCCTCAGCACAAAAAGCTATTGAGATAGACACCAAACAACTTTCTATCTCTTAGAGTCTTTTAACAGTTAACTGAATATTACCTAGGCCTCGTATTTATCAGAGGATAAGATTGCACATGCATAATTCGCACTCAGCACATCTATGGTGTGGGAACGCATCAGGAGCCATATGCTTTTCTAGGATTGAAAACTCCTCCCTGCCCCCCCCTTCAACAAAAAAAAAGTCTAAAATACTTTCCCTTTTCAGTTCCTAGCTCCATCTCTCATAGTCTTATAACCAAAATATCATTACAACTAGCAGTGATATCTCTAATCACCTTATTTCTTTTGACTTTTTATAGTGTGGTAGAAGAGTTCTATTTATATAATTATCATATGGCTTTATGATATGCTTTTGTTTTTCAAAACCTAACAAAATGAAACTGTTGCTATGCCTATTTTCATGATACGGGTAATAATTTTAATCTGTCAAATCACTCTTACCCCCCTCCCCCACTTCTCTTCCCAACCCCACATGCAGTCTGCTGTTAGCGGTATGCAAAACACCATCATGAATATGCGTAATTATGGAGATTCATGGTAATTTTTCAGGGTTATCCGATGTGACGTTTATAGGACAGCAGCATACATCAATTTAAACGAGAGTGACAAATATCTTATCCTTTTTATTTCTATAGTATTTTTAATATTTCCTTGGCCTCTCTCTAGGGAAAAGTGTGAACTAGTAAGAATTTGAATAATAAAAATTTTAAACAATCAAATACTTTGCTAGAATTCTATTTTTGAAAAGACACTTTGAAATAAATCTACTGCTTATTGAACTTTAAGAAGTATGCTTTATCTAATTTTTTTAAGCTGTACTTTCATGAATGCCTCCTGTGTTTCCAAGTCTACCAAGACATAGAGATTTTCTTATGCTTTGGCTTCTGAAGATGAGTATGAACTGCTTAATTACTCTTAAACTGTGACTGCTTGCTTGACAGAATGATTTGGCAAACATCATTCACCAACTTTATTAAGCATAGTTGCTTGAAACAATAATCTGATTGTGGCATATTTGAATTTTGTTCTAAGTCTGTTGCACCTCCTAGAGGCTTGCATATTATCTTTATTTCAGTGACTAATTAGGACTAGCTTGACAATTTCATATTTACAGTGATTACCAAGTAGGAATCCTTTTCCTTGTTCTGTATGTTTGTCGTGAATACTCTACAATACTAATTACATTCAAGAAATACAAAGCTCCACAATTTGATTGAGAGACATCTTGAGTTTAAAATTAGTATATGTGAATTGTATCCAGAATTTCAAATGGAGGAGTAATTAATACTTACTTCATATGCAGTCACTAAAGCGATGAAATAACTGTATGAGATCAAGTCATTATATCAGCCATATTTTTAAGTGTATTAACAATAAAGCCTTCAAAATTAGCTTGATTGCAAATGACCCTCCCCCACTCCACCTGACTAGATTCAGAATTTCCTTTTTCTCAATCATACACTTTCAGGATTTCATCTTGGGGTCAAACCTTCACAATTAAATGTTCTTCAGGACTATAGTGATAACGTACAGTCATGAATACTCCTTGTACAATTAGTAGGGCCTGCTGTGGAAGTATACTGCTAATAGAAATAGTAATGAATGATACTGTGGCATTAGTATGCCAAAGTAGGTTTGAGAAAGCCAGCTTGCATGATGCATATATAATTGTATGTTACATCTAAATATCACTGTATGTTGCTTTAGAAATAATCATTTAGAAAAGTAGATTAGACTCACTCTTTTTATAAGTTCCAATTGATTACAAAAGCATTTCAACAGTATATTAAGCTTAAAGACTTGGGGTAGTAGATGATTCAGTCTTTTGCAGTTGAATTTTTTTTTTAATGTGGTACTTTTGAAGACACACAATGACTATGTCTACATACACATATAAAGTGAAGTGAAGAATTGAAGCAATCATCCAAATAATTCAAGGGGAAAAAAACCACTTTTGCTTCAATTATCTATTTCATGCATAAGTGGGGGGTTGGCCTGAATTGTTCAAATAATTGCCTTGATTCTCTTTCCTGTGCGTGTGTAGACACATTTTACATTAATATTTGTCAAATATTTGCAACTTACACACATTTAGCACAAAAACATGTTCCCATAACAAAGTTTCAAAAATATTTTCATATCCATAAATTCTGCTTATTAGTTTCCAATAAAAGGCTTGTTTATACTGTGAATGTGCAAATGTAATATAATTGCTTCACAAAAAATATTAGATGGATCATCACATGAATTTGTTAAATGGCCCAGTAAATAATTTTGTTTCTACATAAGCTGGTGGTAGCTGGCTTTCAAAAAAAAATCCCACTAATGTTTTATCTAAGAGGAACTTACTATTACAGAATTTTCATTGACTATAAACCCATAGTCTTAAATTGATTTGAAGGCAGGCATATTCATACATATGTGCACTTACAATAGATGCAATATAAAAAAAAAATCCAAGAACCACATACTACAGATTATCCTTTTTAAAGATGGAAGAATTATGAATATTTTAATGTTAATAGAGAAAAGCAAATATCAGATACACTTTATGTCCCACATTTTCAGAAGCTTACATTGATATACTAAAAATTGAAATATACAATAGATTTTACAGTAAGTTTTCCCAAAGGTATTGACCTAAACAATAATATTTTAATTGCTGACACTTATACTTTAAGTCTTGCATTTACTGAAGATATAAAATACATTTTCAGTGCATTTTGAAAATTCATCATAGTTAGGAAAACATGAAGAAGTCTACATTTCCTGGTTTGGGAGTCTGGATCTGTAGGCCTCTTCAGTAACCAGGTTAAGTCTTTATACTGGCCCACAAAGGAAAGGGGTTTTAATGCAATGTAAAGCATTTCTAAAATAACATTGTCCTTTTTATTGGTATCCTGTCAAAATGGGTTTCATTTCTTCATAAAAAGTGAATACTTGGTTTCCTTAAAATATTTTGAAAGCATTGCATTATGAGTTTTTATTGCCACCAATGATTAATACTCAAATATTTAAAATGCTTGAAGAGCATTATGCATCATTTATTCAATGAAAATGAACTATTGTAAGCTATAAATTTATTACCTTTGGCTCATGTATAGCAATCATTTATAATTTTCATATTTTCTTTAAAAGTATATAATTGATGCTTACCGTATAAACAATATCTATTTTATCCCCATAAAAACACATGAAGCAGATATAAAGTTGAGCCTTTCTGTGTTTTTTCTGCTCAAATATTGTTTTAATTTTTCTAAAAATCAGCTATTTGTCTGCTTTTTATTTATGCAAAATTCGATCTCCCAAATTCAATGGATACATTTTATAAATGCCATGTAGCGGATTTGATAGATATTTTCTCTTTGGCATAGATAAGGAACAAAAACATAATAATTTGGTGGCAAGCATCTGTCTTATAATCATATAAGATAAATTCATAAGAAATACAAAAAAAAGATATTTATTAACTGTTACTGCTAAGCTAGCCTTATTTATCTTAGAAGATTTTTCATCTATGAGTGGAAAACAAACTTTTCTTCAAGAGGTCTGTGAACCGAACAATAAATGTCAGGTCTAAATCCTGTATGAAAATCAGTTCAGTTTAATCCCAGATAGTCTTCAGCATGCAAATGAATACTAGAGGTTTCCCTTGGCCCGCTGTCATACAGGCAGCCAATTTACAGACACTGGCACACTGTATGTGTTATGGGTTCTCCTGCTGCCCCTCCCCCTCCCCCTCTATGCTGAGACTTGGTCTCAGCTGCCTGCCTTTCACAGAAAACCACAAACCAAGGAAACATATCAGTAATAGCGCCCTGTAAATTAACTTGACATTTGATGCAGAAAAAACCCTAAAAGCTTACAAAAGACATTGAAAACAAAAGCCACTCAGGACCCACACTACATATATTGTGGATTTAAGAGATCTGGAAGGTGGTTATTCTATTGTAACCAACACATACAGCCTTCATCTTCTTTGTTAAGACAATTCAGTCATTCTTTGTTAAAGGCATAGTATCAGTCAAACAAGAAAACTGTAATTTGCACACACACACACACACACACACACACACACACACACATAAAAACACAATTCCTGAAAGTCCAAACAATCTTATAATAACACATGTCTAGAACCTTTTTTTTATCATTAAAAGAATTAAGCAACGCATTCCTAACACTGAGAGAAGCTAAAAATATTGCTTTATGTTTCCTTAGTCAATAAGACATGTTGACGTTCCTAAGATGTAAATAATGTAAGACTGGTGTTTGGTGAGAGCTATGAACCTTGCTGAACATGGGGTATTCACAAATATTGTTGTGTCTTGAAAATGTTGTCATTCTAGATATTTCTTTTTCTTTTTTCTTTCTTTTTCTTTTTTCTTTTTCTTTCTTTCTTTCTTTCTTTCTTTCTTTCTTTCTTTCTTTCTTTCTTTCTTTCTTTCTTTCTTTCTTCCTTTCCTGCCTCCTTGGAAACACAGATTCCTTTTATGTAAATTTTTTTTTTGGTTCAAAGAGGAACTATTGATAAAATATTAATTTTTTTAAATATTATCCTCAATGTATAAGTAGAGTGAGGCATGACATATTTAAGCTATTAGACATGTAGGAATGTTAACATTATTATGCGTTATTGTGTCTGCCTTGTGTTCCCCCTCCTTTCTCTCTCTCTCTCTCTCTCTCTCTCTCTCTCTCTCTCTCTCTCTCTCTCTGTCTCTCTCTCTCTCTCAGTTCTCTCACACATCTCTCTCTCTTTTTTCTCTGTCTCGCAGTTCTCTCACCCATTTCTCTCTCTCTCTGTTCTTTCAC